CCAACTCCTAATGTGTAGGCTTGAAGCCACAACATTAGATACAAAAACATTGACTTTACTGGGGCCAGGTGCCCTTTGGCCTATAATCCCCACTACTTGGGAGGTTGAGGCATGAGGATCAAACGTTGCAGATCTGCCACAGCTACAGAGTGAGTTAGTTGAAGCCAGTGTGGACAAATTAGTGGGATCTTGACTCAAAATTTTTAAAAAATAGTTGAGTGTGGGAATGTAGCTCAGAGGGAGAGTGCTTGCCCAGCATGGGTAAGGCCCTGTGCTCGTTCCCTAGAACCACAAGAAAAGGTAGAGGAGCCCCACAAAGACTGTTTAACTGTCTCCAAGAATTTGCTGAATGCCTGTAAGAAATGTCCTATGGTGATGGAGACATGGCTCAGTGGTTAAGGCTGTGTTCTCTCCTTACACAGAACCCAAGTTTGTTTCCTGGCACCCACTTCAGAATAACCTGTAACTCCAAGGGGATCTGGTGCCTCTGGCTTGCACAGCACCTACATTCATACACACACACACCACACACACACACACACACACACACACACACACACCAGACAAGGGAGTATACACTGTTAGCCGCAACACTTGGGAAGCAGAAGTTTGCAGATCTCTGTGAGTTCAAATCCAGCTTGGTCTACATAGTGAGTTCCAGGCTAGTCAGGTCTAAATAGTAAAACCCTGTCTCAAATAAATAAATTTGTTTTGGGAAGGGTGGGGGTGCAAAGCAATAAAATATAAAAAGTAAAAAGAAATTTCTTCTGCTCTTCTGATAGGACTCTAACTATTCATAAAATATAGCCATCCGTTTGTAGAAAGTGCCCAAGCTGTTATCTGAAGTGTTTGTACTTACTCAAACTCCAGTTAGCACGGTAAAAGATTCAGTTGCTTCACATGCTCATCAATAGAAAAATAGGCAATTTATTTCTTGGAAGCACTGAACAGTACAAGCAAACAAAGGAAGGCTATGGGTTCTTAGTGTTTGCCTCTGCTATGGGCCAGCCATGCCCTTTTTTTGGGACAATGTCATAATATCAGGACTACAGATTCAATTATTTTGTTTGAGGCACAGTCTCTCCCTAGCTGGCCTGAGGCTTGCTCTATAGACCAGGCTGGTCTCAAATTTGTAGAGATCATTATGCCTCTGTCTCCAGAGTGCTGGTATTACAGGCATATCCCACCACACCCAGCATATAACACTCTTTAACCTAGCAACCCCAATTATAAAATTTGTCATCCAGATAACCCCTTACACAATACTGTTATTAGGGTATGAGCCTTCTAATTGCTGCATTACTATTATTAATTATAAAAATAGGAAATAAGTATCCAAGTATAGGGTGATTAAACAGAATCTTTTGTAGCTAAGAGAGGAAAATTTCAACATAGCAACATGGAAGAACCTTGTATCAGTTAAAGTTTTCCAGAAAAGCAGAACTATTTGAAGTCAGCACAAAAGCAGAAGTGGAAGAGACTGAGGGATTGCTTTGGCATAAGGAGTTGGCTTGCAAAAATTATGGTGGCTGGTGAGTCCCCAGGTCAGCAGGGTGACTTGGTAGAGGTACAGGGAGGTAAATGATTCATTCAGTTCCCATGCAGGTTCCGAGGCTTGAAAACTAGGAGAGCTGATGGGGTAGTTCTGGTACAAAGGCCATTAGGCTTAGGCTCAAGACCCAGCAAGAGCCAGTGTTTCTGTCTGAGTCCAAAGAGAAGATTGGGTGGGGCTGAGGTGCCAGTTCAAAAGCCATCAGACAATAAGAATTCTCTCATACCTAAGGGACGATTAGCCTTTGTGTTCTACTCAGTCCTTCAACTGATTGGATGAGGCCAGCCTACCCACAGAAGATAGGGCAATCTGATTCACTCCTCTACTGATGTTCCAGAACACTCCCACAGAGCACTTACAACACGCTGATTAAGTGACTGGATGCCCTGTGGCCCAGTTAATTTGTTCATAAAATGAGTTCTCACAGATCTATAAGAGGTGCAGAACACAGAATGCAACACACTTCCCTGTGTGTAAAGAAGAAGAAACGTAAAATAACAAATGCACAAAGTATCCAAGACCTGCTACAATCCCACCCACCCACTGCTGGGCTTATAGGTGTGGCTGGTGCACGCCTACAATCCCAGCACTCGGGAAGCTGATGCACAGGATTTTAAGTTGAAGACTGCTTAGAGAGACCCCATCTCAAAGAAGTAAGAATATTCTGCAAGGATGTCCAAGCGTCCTTTTCAGCCTTAAGTCCAAGCAGACTTTTCATTTTTACTTTGTGTGTGTGTGTGTGTGTGTGTGTAAATCATGGGTATGCTTAATCTATTCAAAACATAAAGTAACAATTTTTAGATGCCATTTACATGCTTTCTCTTCTACAGGATTGTCAGACTGTTTTTTGCTCTTTTTTGTTTGTTTGTTTTTTGTTTTTTTTTTTTTGTTGTTGTTGTTTCTGGACAGGGTTTCTCTGTGTAGCCCTAGCTGTCCTGGAACTGCTCTGTAGACCAGGCTGGCTTTGAACTCACAGAGATCTGCTTGCCCTGCCTCCCCAGTATTGGGATTAAAGGCTTTCGCCACCAATGCCCATCTTACTCATCTTTAAACATTTGGGAAATTATGGATGGAATAAACCAGAGGAAATCAGAATTTATGAGTTTAGAAGATAACCTGTGAGAGTAAGTTCTCCCTTCTACCATGTGGGTCCAAGGCATTGAACTCAAGGTGCCTTTATTGATGAGCCATTTCACCAGACTATTTTAATTTGTTGTTAAATTTTTGTTTGGTTCCCAGTTAGTGGGACTGTTAGGGAAGGATTAGGAAGTGTCGCCTTGCTGGAGTGTGGCCTTGCAGGAATGGATGTGGCCTTGTTGGAGGAGGTGTGGTCTTTCATTGAGGTGGACTTTGAGGTTTCAAAAGTCATTACTAAAGCCAGTCTTGCTCTCTCTCTTCCTACCACTTGCAAATTACTCGAGCTCCCAGCTACTGCTCCAGCACCATGACTTCCTGAAACCAAGATCACTGCCACAATGGTCATGGACCCACCTTCTAAAACTATAAGGAAGCTCCAACTACATGCTTTCTTTTCAAAGTTGCCTTGGCTATGGTGTCTCCTCATAGCAACTAAGAGAATCCCTAACTCCCAACCTTTTCTTTTTGAGATAGGGCCGAATGCAGCCTAGGCTGGCTATGGATTTACTATGTGGCCAAGAATAATATTGAATTTCCAACCCTTATGTCTCTGTCTCCCAAGTACTGAGATTACAGGTAGTGGCAACCACGCCTTGTACTAGGTAAACATTCTACCAACCGAGATACAGTCCCCAGCACATTCTTAATATCACTCAGCCACTGGTTCCATAAATAATTCACACACATAAACCCACCACCTGCCTCAAGAATGAAACAATTGCAAATAACGTAAACTGAGTTTCTTTCATATCTCCACAACCTCCTCTCAAAGGGAACTACCACTGCCCACAATTTTGTTCCTTCATTACCACAAAAGGAAAAATAACCAGTTGTGGTGGTGCACGCCAGTAGGATTTGCTGAAAGAATCAGAGGCAGGAGGATCACAAAAGGAGAAATAGCTCCAACAATTCTTCCTGATGCTAATGCCAGTAAATAACCCTCCCCCTAAATGTGGACTGGACCCCATGATGTGGTTCTGATAAGTGGAATAGAGCAAATGTTTTGGGGTATCACTTCTATGATTACATTACTTTAGATGATTATATTTTCCATCTTGCTACCCACTCTTTTTTTTTTTTTTTTTGGTTTTTCGAGACAGGGTTTCTCTGTTTCTTTGTATTGTTTTGGAGGCTGTCCTGGAACTAGCTCTTGTAGACCAGGCTGGTCTTGAACTCACAGAGATCTGCCTGCCTCCCCAGTGCTGGGATTAAAGGCATGTTCCACTAACGCCTGGCACTACCCACTCTTTTAAAAATTATTTCTGATGTGTATATGTGAGTATGCACCTATGTGCAGAGGTATCAGATCCCCTGGAACTGGGCCTACAGGCAGTTGTGAGTCCTAGTCCTCGTAACTGCTGAACCTTAGCTCCAGCCCTTTAACTTTTTTTTTTTTTTTTCTGGAGGTGGTTTTTTGAGACAGGGTTACTCTATGTAACACCCCTGCCTGCCCTGGAACTCACTCTGTAGATCAGGCTGGCCTTGAACACCCACAGAGATCCACCTGCCTCTGCCTCCCAAGTGTTGGGATTAAAGGCATGCACTGCCTTTAATCAATTAGTTGAGACTGGGTCTCAATATATAGCCCTGGCTAGCCTTGAAATTACTTGCCTTGTAGACCAGACTGTCCTTGACTTCACTGCCTCCCAAGTGCTGGGATCAAAGGCATGCACTGCCATGACCGGTTTGCTAAGCCACTCTTTACTTTCTCACTTGCTGGCTTTGGTAAAATAAGTTACCTTGGCGCCAGTGAGATGGCTTGGCTCAGTGGATAAAGGCATTTGCTACAACCTGAGTTGTGATGAATGTGTAGGTCAGAGAAAGTCAGTTTCATTTTCTCCTTCCACTAGGTGATGTCAGGTTCTCTGACCTACACACATACACACACACACACACACACACACACACACACACACACACACACACACTGTGGCAGGCATATGCACACATACATAAATGTAAAATGCAAATTAAAAAAATTAAAGTAAGCTACTATACTGGACATGGTCAAGGAAATTAGAGCAGTCACAAGCCAACAATTGTCAACACTGAAGTCCAGCAATCCACAAGGAACTCATCTGTTAACAGTGTGCCTCCTTCCCCAGTTGAGCTTAAGCCTGAGGATGAGGTCACAGTTCTAGCTGACACCTCAGCCTTAACCTTGTAAGCATCCTGGAAGCTGAAGAGCCGACTGAGCCATGCTCAGATTTGACCCTCAAAAAAATAAATAAGACAAATCATGTGTTGATTCAAGCCTTGACGTTGATAGTAATTTGTTACACAGTAATAGCATTAGATAGCCAAATACAAGTTCCTTTTAGTTCTTTTCCTTTTTACATTTATTTTAAGCTCATATATGTTTGTGCATCACAAGTGGGCCCGGTGCCCACGGAGGTCAGAAGAGGGTGTTGGGACTGGAGTGATGCAGGAAGTGAATGGCCACTGGGTGCTGGGAATGGAACCTGGCTCCTCGGCAAGAACAACAAATGCTCTTAGCAGCTGAGCCCATCTCCAGCCCATCGTTTCGGCTCTGTGTGGCTGTTGTAGTGTGTCTCCCAGAGCTCAGGGCACAGGAGTTTCTCCCATGCTGAATGTATGCCTGTGAATGGAATGGCCAGACCTCGGGATTTACCAATGTTCAGCATTATTGTCAGTCAGCAAATCATTAGAGTGAAGGTCTTACCATGGTCAGGGTTTCAAGTGACCTGTAGCCATTGTCCATAGGATTGAGATCAGTGTGTGGACAGGGCTGAGAGTCATACAGAAAGCAAGAAAAAAAAAAGTCCTTTGGCAAGGGTGGGAACATGAGTGGCCACAATTGGTGAAAATCAGCCTGGGTTTGGACAAGGTTGGAGGATACTGGAGGGAGGCTGGGGTGGGGGTGGGGTCACCCAGTGCTAGAAGTAGGCTGTTACACTTTACAAAATCTGCCCACTGGCAGTACCATCAATCTAATAAGCATAGCGTGAGACCTGGCCTGGGTCCACAGAGTCTTTATGAGGACAGCTAGGTGAAAGGCAAGAACTCGCTGCCTTTGGGACCTATCCAGGCAGAAAGAAAAGGCAGGCACAGGGAAGAGCACCCAACACCACCTTTAATAGACAACTCTGCCCTGTCTTCCCCAGGCACTCCATATATCACTCCATTCGAGGAGGGCTATTGCGCAGCTAGATGCCTCTTTTTCCTGGATTCTTCATTCAACACTTTATCCCTTCCTCTCCAGCTGCTGTGGTCTCCAACCCTGAGATGGGTCCCATGTAAGCACCCAGGAGGGGTAAGAGAATCCCTCAGCTTCCGGGGATAGCTTCTCGAATGTCCAAGGCCATGGAGAAATTGCATAGATGGAGTCGGGGCTATCCTCTAAGCTGAGAAGCGAACCAGAGGACCGCCTCTCCAGGCCCAGCGCCGGGAGCCTCAAAGTGGGCACGGATTGGGAATTCATGCCGTGTGTCCGAACGGGTTTTCTGGGCTGTGGAAAGTGGTCTTTTCTCCTGGCCCGAATGGAGGAGTATAAGGAGGAGGATCAAACCCAGGCCTCGGCTTTGAGCACCCCCACGTTTGCCCGAACCCTCCGCAGCCGGGCGCCGCAGCTGCAGAGGGCGCGAGTGAGCAGCTCGCTCCGCCCTCCCAATCCTGCCTCCGCAGGTGAGTGGGTAAGTCGCGGCGTCGAGGCTCCGGCGGGTACTGGGAAGCCCCGCAGCCCAGGCACCGCTCACCGCTGCTTGCGCTCCGCCTGCTGGAGTCTCCGGGACAGGTCTTCGATGCGCACGTTCTTGAGTTGGAGCAGGTGTTCCAGACGCTTCACCTTCATCTGCAGGACCTAGGTGGGGGTGGGGGTGGGGGGCGCAGAGACATCAAGCCCGAAGGCCTGTTGTCCTGCCTGTGTTTTGCCCCTGCAGACCTTAAGCTGCCCTTAGGTCTCAATGCCCCCTCCTCACCTGCACCGTCTCTTGAGAGGCCAACAGCTCCTGCTCCTTTTCAGCAATCTGAAGGACGAAGCTCGGATCGCCCGGCAGCGCCTGGTTATACCCAGGGGGTCGAGGCGCCTGCGGCCGGCCCCCTCTGCAGTGGGTAGGAACTTAGCAGAGGCCTGGACATCAGACCCCCACCCCCATTCCCATATCCTGTTACCAGGCCTGCCTTTTTCTCCTCCTCACTACCTCCCCAATGACCAAGGCACTGCCCACACTAGTCTGTGTGGACAAGCTACTAAGCCCGGTGAAGTCAGAACTCTCAACTTTACCTGAGCTGTTCTCCCCCCAGAGCTGGGGCACCATCTCCTCGAGCCTTCTGGTACAAACCTAAGACAAAGCAGGTGGAGGAGTGACCTTGCTGGAGTCCCATTATCCTCTCTCCCTCTAACCCTAAAATCGATTAAAGGGACATGGGGCAAAGCTTTCCTGAGATAAGAGAAAGCCACCTTACCAATATCCATGTAGCCACTGCCATCCTGAGAAGCCAGCTCCTGAAAGAACAGATGTGATCTCCTGTGAGCCCGGGCTCATCTATCTCCAAGAAGCCCTATTTCCCTTTCCATAATCCTGTGGGCCAGGTTCTCTTAGCTAGGCACCCCTGTCTTCCTATTCATCTCCACTGTCAGGGGAGCACCCCTTGCACCCCAACCAGCAGGCTCAAGCAGCACCACCTGTAAGGAGCCAGCACCCAGCTTCTGGCGCCTCTGCCGCTCCTCCAGGCGCTGCCTCAGCGGAATGAGCACCAGCTCCACTACACCGGGAGAACACTGCGCAATCTTCCGCATCACGTCATCGGGGACGGAGAAGTTTAGCTTGTTCAGCACCTTTCTACAGAGTGAATACAAGAAGGGTGGGGTGGGTCCTGGGGAAATGAATGGGGGGCATTGGGAAAGAATGGGACATTGCCCCAGGGGACTGGAAGGACAGATATCTAAACCTCCTCTGCTTGAGGTATCAATTTCTTTGTTTCCATCCCGATAAAATCATTACTTGATTTTATTACTAAATGAATTCTGCTGTGTTGTGTCACCCATACACACACACACCGGCCCCGCAGCAATCTCAGCCTGCCAGTCAGTACCACAGGAAGTTTTTCGTTGTTGCTTTGCTTTTTTTTTTTTTTCTTTCTTTCTTATTTTGCATTGCTAGGGACCAACCCAGGGATGGATACACACACACACACACACACACACACACACACACACACACATTCTACTAAGCTACATCCCCAAGCAAGGTCATAGGAAGTTCAGGCTGGAGCAGTCCCTGCAGAGTTTGCTTCCACACCCAGGGATTCTACTACCTGTTCAGGTGACCCCAGTTGCTGAGCTTCTGCTGGAGAGAGTTGGCAGGGACATAATTGTGCATCTCCACCATCTTGGGGAAGTAAAACTTGATAAGCTCTGCAACCAGGACTGAGGGAGTAGGGTTGGGAACAGACAAGAAAGGAGGGGTGTGGGTCAGGAGTAGGGGTGAAGATACAGAAGGGAAGGTTGATAGAAAGGAAACAAAGAAAGCAAGATCAGTGATCAGATCAAGATCCTACATCTCATAGAGAAACAGCATCTTCCTTTTTAGCTCAGGGCACAGAGAAACTGAGCGTCTCCAAGAGGGCCCTACAGGAGTCTGCAGCCTTATCCTAGGAATTCACAAGGACGGACACACACACACACACACACACACACACACAGTCTCAGGAGATTTACACAAGCAGAAAAACAAGGTCCTTCTACTGAGCTAGGAGTATTGCACAGTTGGTAGCAAACTTGCTCTGGATCCCCAGCACCATATAAACAAGCTGTGGTAGCACATGCCTGTCATCCCATCACACAGAAGGCAGGAAAATAGTGGGTTCTGGGTTACATAGCAATCCTGTGTCTCAAAAATAGCCCTCTGCAGGTGTATACAGGGCAGAATGTATAGCACACAGAACAAACAAATACCAGACACATATGGTGCACACATAGAACACATACAAACATAGAAATAACATATAAGCATAGCCTCCTCAATTATACACATAGAAGAGCCTACGGAACTATGCATTTCTTAAATACAGGAGTCTTTCCTGAAAAAAAAAAAAGCATACAATCACAAAAAAACCCACATACACATTCAGGACAGAACATGTCAACACAAAAGAACACAGGGTAAGAATGTAACTCAGTTGGTGGCATGCTTGCATAGCATTCATAATGCCCTGGGTTTGACTCCCTAGCACCACATTAAAAACGAGAGAGGTGGTGCATTCGTATAATCTCAGAATTTGGAGAGACAGACACAGGAATGTAGTAGAGACAGGAGTTCAAGACTCTAACACACACACACACACACACACACACACACTACAAAACAGACTACAGAACACGGATATATAAGCAAGCATAGGTTCACAAATACAGACGCATAGTTTAGTCCTTAAAGGCCCTGGAGGGAGACACAAAGACACAGTCTATGCACACAAAGTGTAATAGTCATACATTGTTCGCACACGAAAAGAAGAAACATGTAAATGCACACTTCCACAATCAAGTTCCAAAACACTGATTTCCACCCCTGCCCCATTCTACATACACACATAACAAAAGTGATAGCATACACACAAATCCACTACAGATACATAAAGACAGAACATTTTAAAACACACAACGCACACCTCCGTCACTGAAGTCCCGGGAGAGGTTTCTCTTGGGTCGGGACAGAGGGATATTGTCTATCCACAGGTACAGCTGGTGCAGAGCCTCCTCATCCACGCTGCTTGCCATTTGCTCCTGGGCAAGGACTCACCGTTCCCTGCAGAGCCCAGTACCAGCCCCAGGACCCTTCCAGTGCCTCCTCTCGCCACTGAGAGCGTTCAGATCTACGTTTATTTCCCTACTCCGCACAGACTCAAATCCCATCTGGGAGCAGCCATATTGTTTTCCGAAACCATAGCAACCGTCGCTACTTGCCTGGAAACAGAGACTTCTGGGAGTTGTAGTTTTCCCATATTACCTTCCCCCTGGACCCCAGCATTGAAAGGGCAGTTAGCCGTATTTATCTTCCTTTCTCCCCAAGAAGGCATCAACTATCTGCCCACATCACTTGCTGACCAATCACTGACCCATTCTAGGCTTTGCCAAAACCAGCTATGTCTCCTTCTGTCCTAAAGGAAGCAGTATCTCCACACATGTCAGCATTGGGGGTAGGGAGGAGCACTCTGCTAATCTGACACCTAACGCTCTGTATAAATTGTCTGTTTTTAAATTATTTTATTTTGTATGTGTATGGGTGTTTTACCTGTATGTAATATCTGTGTGTTCCTGATGCCTGCAGAGGACAGAAGGTGTTGGATCCCCTGGAACTGGAGATGGTTGTGGGTCCTGGGGATGAAACCTGGGTCCTCTGGAAGCACAACCAGTGCTCTTAACCACTAAACCATCTCTCCTGCCCCTAAACTGCTTAATAGTGCTTCCTCACTAGCTCCCTCCCCAAAGCTCTGTAGACCTAGGGTCATTACCATTTCCTCATCCCAGCAATATATCCTACCGGGGCATTTAATATGTAACCCAGATTCCCAGGGAGAGCATTGGCAAGGTCATTTAATTCCTTAACTCTATTTCCTCCTTTGTAATACAGAAACAGTTTTCATCTACTTGTCCCAATGGTATCCTTGGAAAGAAATGTACAAACTGGAAAAAAAAAGTATAAGCGACCTGTATTTGTACGGGGATTGGGTATTAGAAGCCAGCTGTATACATGAAAGCAAGAGCTTCCACAGACAATCACATCCCTCATCTTCCTCCAAAGGGCTCTTCTACGATGGATTGGAAACTGATTTCTGCAACCAGGAGGGGTAGGAACATAGGTCCCTCCTTAATGAAGGAATACAAAGTAAGTACTTCTAGAGCCTGCCTGAGAAGAAGGTTTGCATCCAACAGGCTAATGATGTGGGCACATTACCATACCTCCTCTCTGCCTGTTTGTCGTGGGTTTTGTTACCTCATAAGGGTATCTGAGTGTTTGACACCTAGCACAAAGAAAAGGCCCTATTAGTATCAGCTTGCATTAAACATTGGGACCTGTAGAAGAGGTTCTTATTGGCAGGGGACAGATCAAAGTGATTTGCCTTGGTACTTGAGATAAAGGACCCAGACTGTCCAGGGGCATCTAGAGAAAATGCCACTTCTCCCTCAACTTTCTCCAGAGCAGGCCCAGTGGGTAGGCTAGGCTTTATGGTCTCCTCCTCCAAAGTTCCAATTAGAGAAAGGGGTGATGCCAAATGGAATCCCAACTCCTTTGCTTGACTTTGTCTCAAAACTTTCAAAAAAAGGGGGAAGTGTGGCTCAGCAGTGAGGCCCTTACCTGGGTTCATCTACCCCGGTATTAATAGAAACAAAATTTGCATTAAAAAAAACTAAAACAGCAACTAATTTTCAAGACTTGCAGAGAATCCCCTAGTGTCAGAAATACAAAAGGCCCAAACATTTATGGCCAGCCTTTTGGGAAGGAACCACACCCAGGGTAAACAAGGCACAAAGGATGACTTGGCCATCCCCCACCCCCTTGCATTCCAGTGTAGGGAGAACTTGGTGGCTGGGGTATGTTGGGGATTGGGAAATTACCAGAGGTAAGATGCCAGCCCTAAGAAAGGTTGGAAAACCGGTTTGGGAGTCAGAATTACCTACCCTGTTCAGGTCTTACCCTGGCTGGAACCTGTGGGCCCCAGTAAGGAATAGCCATGAGGGAGGGGCTGGGCTCTGAAAGAAGGACATGCCCTCACCTTTGGACTGGAGTGGTGGAGAGGCCCTGCAGTTGAGTTACCAATTCACTGGGGGGGGGGGGGGGCGAAT